AGACGTGTGCTCTTCCGATAAATGCACTTTTTAATTGCTTATATCTCAGTATTGAGATGGTCAATCTCATTCTAATTGCACAAGCGTGTCAACGACTTCTAGTACAACATATAGTTTCAATTTCAAGAAATTCTCAATATTTTGAATTTGTGAGTGTACTACCTTAACATGCCTTTTTTTAGATAGGACTAGCACGCAGCGCGCGCTTCGCGCGCGCCATTCATGAATGTTTTTTAATAATTATAATGAACAGGCATTTCGAACAATGGCGTTGAATATTGTTTAAAACTTTTGAATATTGTTCAGAATCATGAGCTTGACAACAAGTGTCAAAGTCATGATTATTGAAGAATGTTTCTTTTTTTTTAAAAAATAAAAATAATTTTCAGAAATGAAAATAAGAGAAACAATCTCCAATGATCATGGCCTTGGCACATGTTGTCAAACTCATGATCCTGAACAACATTTAAAAACAAAAACTGGGAGGTTTTATTTAAAAAATTCAAAGTGACCTTGTCCTGACCTTGATGACGCCACTCAAGGTCAAACCAATATTATCATCTTATGTCCCCTTCAAAGTCCCAAAACTTTTGTCTGAAACATTTTTTTCTCCCGGGCTTGATTTTCGAGATATTCGACTGGATGGATTAAAATGTATATATATATATACATTTTACATGGCGTCCCAAAATAAACTTTTGTCCTTAAAATGTCATATTCCTGACTCAATTCTGAGAAGATTTTTCCTTTACCAAAAATTTTATCCGAAGCTTAGTTTTCAAATTATAACAAGAAATAGTTAGCGAATTATGGGCCGCGTATAGGAGGCGTACAGGGGCGCGCAACTTACTGTCGGACGCAGGCGGTACGCGGGGCCCTCGCGACGATTAGCTGACTGCTACACGCGCGCATGCACATGACATTTTAAGGACATGCGATTACATTCTCTCTTGCTCACACACACAACATATACACACACACACAAACACACACGCACTGGCGCCGCGCACGCGCACGCACACGCGCGCGCACGCACGCACACGCGCGCGCACGCACGCACGCACACACACACACACACGCACACACACACACACACCAATTACCTTGTAAAGATTAAATGACTTCTGTATAGCTTTGTGAGAAAGACGGAATTTTTATTTCGATGGACCACGTACAGTTCCAAATTTTTTTTACTTACACTTATTTATTTTACTTTACTGTAATTTTTATACATAACATACATATACTTATGCTTGTAATATTATAATTTTTCTTTATAGTGCCCTGACTGTGTTGTACCCAAACCGACGTCTGTTACTTGTACCATTCATGTTGCTTCAACAGGACCACCTCCGTTACAAGACGTTCCTCCATTATATTCTACTGTAACATTTCAGAATCAAAAGCCATCAGTTGTTTCTGTAAGTTAGCATTTCTTTATTACAATTTATATTTTTTATTTTATATTTTTTTTATGTTACGACCTTGCTCTTGTATATTTATTATAATTTTTATTTTAGAGCCATGATCGTGCCGTTATTGTATCATCCAAACAAACAAGTTTTCCCGGTTTCGTTTCTTTTCCCATTGTTTCTACAAAATCAGGACCATCAGTTTCTGTAAGTTTCAAAAATTATGAATTTTTTGTTGACACACACACACACACACACTCACACATTCTCTCTCTCTCTCTCTCTCTCTTACTCATACGTATTGTCTCTCTTACATACTCTGAACACTCAAACATATTTGTACTTTTTTTTCTATTCAAACAGAAACATGTTTCCACTACTGCTTCTGGGCCATTCGTCGCTCTACCGTCATGTTCTACTGTTACTTCTGGCAATGGTACAAGGCAATCAGTTCTTTCTTCTGTAAGTTGCAATTGTTATTTATATTTTTCTTTTTCCAACTTTCTTTTTAATATATTCTCTCATTATTTGTGTAGATTGATAATGCTTCAAATATCGCTGCACGTTCTAATGATGAAGGCATCTCACGTGTTTCAAGTAATAATATAATATAATTATTTGTCTTATTAATTTTTCTGATTAATTATTTTAGAGTAATAAATTTTTCTATTCACAATCTCTCAATTTATCATCACTTTTATAGACAGAAGACCAAGAGGCACAAGAGCAGGTATACAGCGGCAACAAGAGCGCTTCATGCGTTTCCTCTACAGATTATCGTCTGCTCACTATAATTGGGGACGTACAACTCGTCGAAATACAAATCAACAACATCCTCCAAATAGATATGAATGAGACGTCACATTATGTATTGAAAAAATTTATTTTTGTGTTAAAAAAAAATGAGTTTTATGATAAAATTATTTTTGTTCGAAAAAAATAAACTTTGTGATAAAATAACTTTAAGAACGAACTTTAAGATTAATTTATTTTTATGTTGAAAAAAATAAGCTTAATGATAAAATTATTTTTGTATGGAAAAAAATAAGCTTTATGATAGAATAATACAGTGACACTGATTTGATTTTCTCTCATAGCATTTTGTAATATTAAAATAATAAAACATTTTTACATGTTTATACAAAAATTATAGCACATATATTCTTTCTTATCCCTTTTTGTTCACACTCCAATCTTTCTTCTGTCTTTTAAAACAGTTCTTTCAAATCCTTTACTATATAAAACAATCACTACTTTATAATACTGTAATTTAAATTTCACTTATCTTACCTTCTATATTGTTTCTTCTTTGATTCCGATTTATATGTTTAAAAATTAAAAAGTTTTAAGATGAATTGTATTAAATTCAGTATTATCAATCGAGAATTGTGTATAAAATACAAATCTATGATACAAACAATTGTCATTTAATAATATCGCAATTAATTTAAACCGTTTCATTTAGTTAAACAGAAAATTACAAAATGAATTCAACGAAAAAAGCAATCGCTAATTGCGGTATTACTAATTAATAATTGTTTTTATTAATAATTGTTTATTATTATAATTAGTAATACCGCATTAGCAATTGTTTTTATCGTTGAATTCATTTTGTAATTTTCTGTTTAACTGTTCGTCCTTTGGGTTGGCAGGAACAATAGCTTCTGCATTGATGTCAGCTGAAGGCCAATTAAGACTCATTTTGGTAACCATTTCCGTTAGTGTACGTAAATCAAATTTAATCATTGTTACATCTCTGATTATCTGCTTCTCGAATTCTGTTCAGGAAATTATAATTATAAAAGCGCGTCTCTAAGTATATTATTTTAAATATACGTAATGTCTCTATTAAAGGCATGAAGGGGCGTGAGTTAAGAAGGCACTTCATTTAACAGGTTAAAAATCTTTTTGCTTAAGTTGCTTGTAAAACATTCCAAAAATATGCCGCTAGAGTTACAGACTCGTTCCTGAATTATTAATAGAACTATAGTTGATTTCGCAGTTGTGCGTCGAGCAGGTATACCGCGGATTTTAAACGGTTTTTCTCAAACCACTTTTATCAAAATGACGTGCAGAATAAATAAAAAATATTTAACCAATCAACTTTGTTCTATATAAGAGGCTTGTAGATGCCCTATACACTGTTTAAGAAGATAAAGGAACATAGATAAATAGAATCAGCTTTGTTCAGTGCTCAAATTGTAAATAAATAAATGCCCTTGTGGATGAACCTATAATGATTTCATTAAAATGTATATTGTTTATTAAATAATAAAGTTAAAAATTTTAATACAAAAATCGATATTTTTTTGTTCAATATTCTCTAATATTTGCAATTTTTTATTTTTTTATCAAACAAGTAGGTTCATCCATAGCATAATCTTATTTAATGAGTAAATAATCCCGGTTTTTTGTTTTTGGTAATTACAGCGATTGTTAGACTACACGCCAATTAGCCATCCGGACGTCGAAGACATAACAAAGAACGCAAATTACTTATAGTTAATATTTCGCAACAAAAAAATTGCACTTATTCAACTCACTTATTTAATAATTAATAAAGTATCTAAAAATTTAAAAAAAATTTACTTAGTTTCTTTTTAAAAAAATTTCAAAAGCATGTAAATTTATGGTCTAAATGAAGTGTCCTTTTCATAAATGAACTCCCCTTTCATAGATATACGTTAAAGTAAAAAGTCAAGATATTGTGTGTGTGTGTGTGTGTGTGT